TGTTGCCCGGACTGGGAAKGGGTTTTACTGGCTGCTTTCTGACATGTTGGGAGAAAGACTTTTGAAATGTTAGTGTGGCATTTTACTTCTCCCAAAAGAGCACAGAGCAAACCCAGGGATTATCTGTGAACTGTGTTTAAGTTGTATTCATGAATAAATAACATTCAGGAGAAGGTGAACAAAGACATTCTTACACTCCATGGGTTCTTAAATCATTTGCTCTTCATTTGTATCTGCATAACAGCCAGGAGTAAAAGTTCTGAAAATAATGAAGTTATTCTGTGTGATAGAAATGCAAATGAGATCAAAAGCCAAATTCCTGAACTTTTAGAAGCAGCAGTATTAAAGATGACTTAGAAAGATAATAAGGAGCTGAAGATTGAAAAGGAAATGATTGCAAGGTTCAAGTCTTAGGTATTGCAGGCAAATCAAGACCCTGCAATGTGAATTGCTATATTCCCCCAGCAGCAACTGGGTCTCTCAGAAAACTGTGTTTTATTCCTAATCTTTCAAGAGCTGCTCTCAATGCTATATGTAAATCAGACTATTTTTCTAGCTATTCTTCATGCAAGATAAAAACAGAATGGGAAAARAATGTACTTGCTGGTTTTCTGAGTGTAGCAGAATCTGTTAGTTCCTTTTCACTTTTACTGTTTCAAATGTGTCACAGCAAAGACAAACCTGCAAACTCCAATTCCAATGAACTTAGATCTGTTTTGCTCTTTTAAACACTTTTTTTTCATTACATTCATTAATGGAAGAATGCTTCTTACTTGGACAGACAGGATTTAAAAGAATGGACAAGATCACAAAGCACAATCTTTTCTAGGCGTAGTTTTTCTTAGACATAGGCAGCGGTGCATCGACATCAGCATAACATGCTGATGAAAATCAACATAAAAAATAAACACTTTGATTTTCCAAATTACAAATCTAGCTTTGAGACTTGCATAAAAGTTGCCCAACTGACTCAGTACAATTCATTTTAACAAAAGTATTGCCCAGAACAGGAAAAAACCCTCTTTCCTTCAGCCATGCTGTCCACAATATACAAAGGGAGATTGAACAGAACCCCAGGGAAAATGGTGCCACTGGGATAAAGATTAGTAATTTTCACTGCAATTCACATTTTGGAAAGCTCCATGGTGAAATGGTGGCAGAATAGAGCTAAACTTTAAGCTCTGTAACTGAATTCAGTAATTTTCTTGCTTTTGTTTCCTAATGCACAACAGCAAACCCTTACTAATGAATTCTATGCAACACAGAACAGGTAAAGCAACTGAAAAATGGTAATATCTCAAAAAAGTGAAACAGAAAAGGCCTATTAAAAAGATTTTTTTTCCAGTCACAGGTTTAACCAGTAAAAAAATAACCCCAACACTGAAGCTGTCTTTTATACTCTGCAGTTGAACCTGTCAAGTGTCACTGGAGTTTATTTARTGAAACATCACAGTGTACTGGGAAAAGACAATCAGGTTTTTGTGGTAAATTTATACTAGGCATGTTTAAATTATTTTCCCTGTTGGTTATGGGCACTTGTTCAWCAGGATTAATTCCAAGTAAACTCAAGGTGCGCTGGGTTTCTAGACCTTGACGTTACTTTCTCTTCATAATTATTGATTTAATCAAGAAATGAAACTTTATACTGGAAAGAACAGCATTATGGACAGGAAGTGCAGCCACAAACCACAAGGTATGCCCTTGCACAGTGTGTGCGCCTCTCTATGAAAGAGAATAGGAAATAGTGAATAATCTCCMTCCTTTTCCTCTGATTCTTTTTTCCCCTCCATTTCAGCAACAAACAGTCATTCTTAGATGATGAAATGAGAACAGATGACAGCTTTTTGATTCCTCCCACGACTTCTGCATTTGACTTCAATTTTAAACCTAATTGCCTTGTGTTTCCAACAATTTTACACCACGCAGACTTGCAACATTTCACTTACCTTCTAGGAAATATGTCGTTGAGTGCATTGTACTATATAAATACTCAACATGACAACTTAATCTTGACTTTTTTCTTACATGTCCCTTTTTCCAGGAAAAAAGTGAACTTTTTTTGTTCCAGGAAAAGACATTTTACACATTACTAAGGAAACCCCATTTTATGCCTGCCCCTAGACACACATTTATCAGAATATTATCATTCACATCAGTGGGATGCAGACTGATACAGCCCTACCTGAGAGAAAAATAACACTGTACATTTAAAATAATTTTTTGTATTTATGAAAAACAGCTGCCAACCTGAATGATTAAGAATGTAATGTGCTTCACTGTGTGTCATTTAACTGACGTGTTACTTCACAAATTAAATTAAACAATAATGGCCATCTAAAATCATCTTTAGCTTGTTGTCTAGTTCAACTATTCACTTCAGAAATTTCTGCTTTTAGGATGATGATGATTTAATATTTAACCATGGATTTCCAGACAGAAAGAGCAACAAGAAAACCTTATGCAAATCTCACTGTTTTAAAAGATGAGTACTTTGTTTTAACGAAACAGTAAACTTGCAGAAAAAGATGCAATTCCCTGAGGGTCATCTGGCATTTTTAATTTCAAAACTTAAAAATTTTAAAACATTCAGAATTAAAATTGCCTGAAATTGTGASAAGAAAAAATGTGGATTTTCTTTGCAGGATGAAAGTTATTTTGGAATTTCTGGTCCCTTGAAGAAAACCTGAAATATTATATTTAATAGTAATCTAAACCAAAGCGTCATTCCTTCAGGGTTAATTCCTTCAGTAGCTGGAAGGAAAAAAGCTATTTTTTGTACAGCTTGTGAGGATTTATTTGCTTTAGGAGACCTTCAAGTAGACTCTTGAAGCACTGCTTGCATTGCCCTTCAATGTAACACAGAAAACTAGACAACAAGAATTTGGATGTTAGAAGAAAGACAAACAGCTTTCTTTTAGAAAATGTTGTTAACACAATTGAATATGCCAAACTGGCAACCTGGACTCTTTCTGTGATTTCTAGCAACTCTGGGGCATGAGTGACAGTGTTCAACCAGATCAAGCTACATTAGTTGCTGGGGAGCTCTGCTGGCTTGGTTCTCAAGAACTGCACAGATGAAATGTACAGTCTAAATACAGATTTGCCWGTCTACATTTTGAAAATTTGGAGCCAAAAATCCTTCCATTTAGTACCTATGATATTCCAATAACGAATAATTCTAAGAACAATTTCACATGCACAGCTGGTACTGCAAGACTCACAAATTAAATCTCAAGGTAAGTAATTAGACTTTCAAGTGTTCTGAAATTACAGAAGTCCTGAACAGTGCTGAGGTAACACTTATCATTCCTGGCAGATCTATAAAAACCTAGCAACAAGCAAAGTGCACCTGCAAATCAATGGACAGAGAGCTTAAGTATCATGGTAAAACCATGGAGTTAAGTCTTCTATCTATACAMTGTGTGCAAGGCAAAGGTCTAAGTCCCCAGCAGAAGAATTGTGGAAGTGAAGTTGAAAGCAGTGAAACAGAAATGCCATTTAATGATTTTGATTTGACAACATATTTTTATGGCATCACTTTGCATATAGAGTTTAGTCTGGAAATGTCCATCCATATAAAATAATAACCAATAAAAATCCCTTCCCTCCCACCCCCCAAAAATCATATATATAGTCCCATAAACTTCTATATTTGTCTAGCATAGACACACAGATGTACATGTGAAAGGTGAAAGTGACATTAAGTTTTAGGGTGTTGCCTTCCTTTATAATAACACAGATAGTCCTGATCACAGGACGATTTATAGTTAACTGATGAAAAGTGCTTTAGAAAAGCCAAATATTAATGGTGTTGTACATGTGGCCAGATGCCCCTTTTTTCCCCTTTAAGTAATGTTCAATGCATATATATCAGCAGTAAGTATTCTCATAAGCAAAATCTTGGACATTAGTCCCATCCAGAAGGAAAGATTGTTAACTTGTGGCAGATATTAAATGAAAAATTGCTTTATGTTTCCCATAGGAAGATGTAATATGAGATAAGGAGGACATAATAACATTTATATSTAAAATTATTTAATTATGTTAGTTGGAATTTTATAAAAATATTAACCAAAGGCGTGTAAGTATGGCAAATTTCAGTTCTTTGTTTTTTTCCCCAGTAAAACTAGTAACAGTATGAAATGGCACCTTATACAGAGAAAATAAAGGAACTGTTCATAGTGATCCCTGCTATTCCTCAGTATTCACAAGTACAAATGAACAAGAGACTTCCCACTATAGATTTGTCATGTCTAGTTTCATTTCAGTTACAAAAAGAAAACCTGTGATGTAAACATGTGACATATTGTGCTAAAAATGGTAGCTGGACCCGCATTTGACACAGCTGAAAAGAGAAACAAAGGAGTGAAAATTTTACATGACTTGAAAGTTTTCTTCATGTGTTTGTAGCACAAAGCAGAGCTCYTCTTCATTTGTCCTTATTGGAAACTATGGTAGCTAAAAGATGTTGTGATGCCTGCAGAAAACAACAAATAAGCGTCACTAGCCCAGGGAATTGTTAGGCTCTGAAATTACTCAGGATGCTGCAGTTGGTCATTTCCTACAGCCTAGTGTTATTCAAATCACATCTAATAACTGGGGACTAGAAATAGACTTTCAGACCACAATAAAAATATTGACCAAGGTCAATAAAAGCCAAAATGAGGTGTCGAAATAAAACACCCTGTAACTTTATGTCACGATCAGATGAACAGACAAAAAGTAATATTTTAGATAGTCAAATGTAAGTAAGCAAATACATTACTTGGAAAAAATCAATACAAAWAAAGTTAGGGAAGATTTTCATCCTGTTTTTCTTAGGAAAAGGAGGCTTTTCAGTCAAGAAAAAAAGTCAGATTAAAAGGAAAAACTATATAAAAGCATATTCATCTTTCCTTTGGCTAACTTTAAAAATTAACCACAAGAAAATTATTAATGGATGTTGAAATGCTAGGCTAAATAAAAAAAGGCTAAATATCATTATTACTTCTTTCTTTCAGGTGGTAAAAATGATGATTGTGGTTGTGCTGACATTTGCCATCTGCTGGCTGCCCTACCACATTTACTTTATAGTTACTGGGATCTATCAACAATTAAATCGGTGGAAATACATTCAGCAAATCTACTTAGCCAGCTTTTGGCTTGCCATGAGCTCTACCATGTACAATCCCATTATCTACTGCTGCCTTAATAAGAGGTAAGAGCTGGTTATGAAACAAGGTACATAACTTCAACAAGAATACAAATGGTTTAAATTGAATAAAATACATAGAATTTTCACTTAAATAGTTTTCAGTTAGAGGGAAAGAAAACAAAATGCAAAAAACTTCCTTCCTCTAGGTTTGTACTTGAAAGAATCCCAAAACCTCGAAGGTAGAGTTCCAGTAAATAGTTTGGTCTACTTAAAATTTCAGAGCAGATTCAGCTTTCAGAAACCAGTCCTTCCCATGTCCACCTGTGAAATTTAAAAATCKACAACAGTTTAATGGTTTTTGGCTTGCAAAAAATTAAAATAAAGAAGATGGCCGTTAGTGATACAAAGTGCAAGCCATATGTTCATTAATTGTAGCCCCAATTTTGTTTTGCTGGAGGGATGTAATATAAAATGTGATTTACTGTGTTTTGTATACTTCACCATTAGCTTTTTACTGTGCTCTGAGATCTGCAACAGGCTAATAAATATTATGCAAATATTTATATTCTCATTACTCAATACTAAATTACATTTAGTAATTACAATTACTAAGTATTGTTTGATTGCAACACATTATACTCTGAATTTCAAACCTATTGAGTTTGGTGAGATTTTACAGGTACTTGCTAGTCTAAGATTACTGCATTACAGAATGGACTCAAGCTTATTGGACCAGGATCTAAACAAACATTATCCTGGCCATGCTATTCTCCAGTATTTCTCCTAGCATTATTGGATCACGATCACCAGGAGCAATTAATCACTTCACAAAATCAGTCAGTATGAATCAGTATTGAATAATTTTAAATACTATTTCAAATCTCTTTTGACCTATCAGCCAGTGTCAAGTTTAATTACTGTTAAACTTTATACCAATTTTGCAAAGTATTTCTCAACCTCCACTAAAGATCTTGCATTACCTGACAAAAGGAGTCTAATCAAAATTGAAGCAAACAAATCCTAAGTTTTCATAGGTGTAAAAACMCTGAAGTCTTCCTCCTTGATAAGCATAACTTATGACAATTAATATTCATGATTTTTTCAAAAGACCAGGAAACAACTGAATTCATACAGCCTTCTGCCTCTTGTTATCATTTACAACTGTTTAAAGATGAGGTTGTGTTAGCATGCCAGAACAAAACTGTAACTCAAGTGGCAAATTTTGCATTAATTTCAACAGAAACMAGATTTCAGGAAGTGCCCGGTGTCTGCAAAATCAAAGGCAAGGAAGAGTGAGGCCTCATTTTTCAATTACTACCATAAAACTTTTAAAGCAATATTATTTCCTTCAAAAACTTTTTATGGCACGGTTACAAAAGAATTTATTCATAAAACAATAATATGTCTGTTGTGGCTCATGCTGACACTTGCACACTGCAAAATTAAATATCTGGATTAAAGWACACAGCCAAAGAAAAAGTAATAATTTTGAGACACTCTAAAGGTCATGTTCAGAATTTGATGCAAGAATCAAATACTGATGACAGGTTTCTTATAATTAAGTTCTATATTGAAATCAAGATGCCAGGATGCCTCTTCCTTTTCATTACGTAGGAAAATAGAGCTTGTTGCTGGGAGTCAGATCGATTCACGCCTCTGCTGGATCTAGTATCAAATAGAGTTAGAACACCTATCCCCAGCCTCATCTTCCAGGCTAATTAGAGTATTATGCACCAGATAAAGACAGCAAAAAAACCCATGCCCTGAATTAGAAAGAGAATGGAAGGTGCCAAGAAAAGTAATACAGCTTAAAGATCATTTGGTTTTACAGTTCCCATCACTAAATCCATTTCCATCAGAGCTTCTTTCAGTATTTTTCCAAAATATAGACTGCATGTAAGCAGAGGAAYGCTGAACAGCAACCTACTTGCTTTATTGTCACCATGTGAGAACTCCATGGCAAACTTTAAAATTTGAGGAAGAAAAAGTCACTTCAGTGAGATCACTTAACTTTAACTGAAAACTTTACCAGAATTRTTATGTGCAGTCATTACTGTGGTAGTTGAGCCATTGCTCAAAAAAACTTACATACAGGGTAAACAACAGAGCTGATTGTTGAAACAAAGCAAGAGAAGTGAGACAAGTGAGAAASTCAGATAAGCCTTAGGTCTAGGTGACCTTCTTTCCAGTTATACACAGATWACCAGGGAATTGCTTTTCTAATAACTTGAACTTTTATCCTAGAAATGCATACGCACAAAACATAACAACAGTCTTTGTGGTAAATCCCTGCCTCTGAACTGAAATAAAATAATTCTGTATGAGTATTGCAAACACTGATGCTCCAAAGCCTCAAAGTGCCTGTTTGTATATTGCTCACATTCCGATTTCAACTTTCTAGGATCCTCTTTAACTATTAAAAATTATTTTCCTAATATTTCACACAAACAATTATTATCATTAAATCATTCCTCTATAAGCATTGCTGTTAGAAACACAGAAGGAATATTAACATTTAGAAACTGGAATGGTATTTTAGGGAAAAGAATGTTACACAGTTTCTTCCTGAAAGAACATGAAAATACAGRTGCAGATTTCATTAGAGGTCAAATCAAAACAATTTCTCTGAAGACAGTTCTATCCAAGTKGGTGTTTGTTTACTTAGGCACAGGCAAAGGACAGGAAATGCATTATARGGAAAATACTGCTGCTAAAATGCAGGGAAAGCATGTAAGAAAATCAGGAACTGCTGTGAGTTGTTACTACTATCTTTTATACCCWACTCASWCTTTAGTCAAGGAAACCCCCYSTGACTTCAGCACACCCAGGCCTAGGGGGAGGATACCTGGCCAAGTCAGTGTCCCGCCAGCACCGAGTGTGTCTTCACATGAAGGCCTGGGGATGGCTGTCATAAGCACAGGGTTTCACCACGCTTCTTTCATCCCAGGTTCCGAGCTGGCTTCAAGCGAGCTTTCCGCTGGTGCCCCTTCATTGAGGTGTCCAGCTATGACGAGCTGGAGCTAAAGGCAGCAAGGTTTCACCCCACACGGCAAAGCAGCCTCTATGCTGTGTCCAGGATGGACTCCAGCATGACTGTGGTGCTTGATACCAATGATGGAGACAGCATGCATGCCAGCCACAAGAAAAGGGCAGCTCCAAGGGACCTGAACTTCAATGGTTGCTCACAGAGAAATCCCAAGACTGTCTCCACGGCCTCAAGTCTCATCAGCTCACTGCACACATCAGCAGATGTTTACTCCTAAACATCTTGCGTTGCGACATACACTGGAATATGTTCTCCCCTACTTTGGGACTTGATATTCACACCACAGCAAAGCAAAGCAGACTCCACTGACAATCCTAGCTCTAAATATTGTGAGACTTTTGGGAATCTCTTACTTTTTTTTTTGTTTTGGAGAGAAAGACGAATTTGAATGCCAATGTATGCCTCAGTCTAAAAGCACAGTTGCACCTTATACACAACGTTTGTAGGGACTATCCAAAATGAACCAATGGCATAACAATCTTTGTTTCAGTTGTATCTGACATTTATGTATCAGTCTGTATCTGGCATTTACGTTTGACTTACTGAAATGTAACAGGCTTCTCTACTTATTGAAGCAGAAATGTACAATGTTTTCCATTATGAGTGTATTAATTCCACAGTAACAAAATTACATAAGATTTGATTATAAAAATGCATTTATAATGAACACCTAATGAGCCCTAAGTCTATTAAGCTGTTTTACAATTTAGCCCCATTCCCAGACAAASAGATGATATTAAGTTCACGTGAATGCAGTTCAGCTCTGTCTGCAACAGTACAATTTTGCAAATATGTAAGAGAAAAGGAGAACATGAACAAGAGACTAAGTTAAATTCTACCAAAGTTTGCATATTAGGAAACACTGGAGTTTAATGGGATTTGTACTTCCAGGAGAAWATGTTACTTTGATGAATGTCTCATAGCTTTGTATCTTAGTACTGAGGGTAAGGTCTGTCTCCAGTGATCTTAACAGAATCTTTCTGATTGACTTTAGAAAGGTCAAAAGATTTTAAACTGGAGATTCCCATATTAAAAAAAAATACCACTGTGGCAATGGACTCTCCTCTGCACAAGATAAAGTTAACAAGATCCACAATGAAAAGTTTCCACCGGAAAAAAATATTTGGGCTCTTCACAATTTTTCCATAGCATGATGCATGTTAAAATACTCCTGTGGCTGCATCTGAAAATATGCTAGGCATTCTTACACAGACATGCTCCCACTGAAATCAGAAAAATCCACTGACCATCATTATTGCAGAGAAAGGTGAATGTAATAAAAAAGGGACCCRAGAGCAGCCTTTGTTTTAGTTATGTAACTGTGTCAGTTGCATGAATGTTTGTTGTCAAACAGTTAATAAAAACAGAAGCAAAAGAGTGTGAATGTCTTCCTGAGTTAGCCAAACCAGCACGGGGCAGTGTATATCTGGCTGAACCCAACCCAGTACCAAAGCTGAGCAAYTGATAAAGAGAAGTTTGAAGAGAGAAAGGCTTGAGCTGGCTTTAGCCCACATTTCTTCCCAGGGACTGGGAATGATCAGCATTGTGACAGAGAGCATATGATACAAGACTAGTAAAAATAGAATCATGTTTGTATTGTGGTTCATGTATATAGTCAATTGTTATGTCCTGTTAAGTGTAACTTGTATAGTGATTTCAGTGCACTGTGGTATCACTTACTAAATCAAAATCCTGCATAAGGTAAAATATCCTCAGACACATAAACCTGATAGATTAAATTCTCCATGTGTGAAATAACTAAAGAACTTGGTCAYAAAGTATTGCACTCTTATAACAATGCATCACAATTCCCAACTCACTCTTTTCCTATCTGTGGCCTGATCTTAAATCCACTGAAGCAAAAGAGGTCCATTCATTAATGACTTTCCTTTCAATTGTCAGTCCATGCTTTTCAACAGTCTGGTTCTCTAAAAAAAACAGCTATTTTTCATGATATCATTGCTGTACTCTCACTTTTCCACATTTTTTTAAGCGTGTAGTAATCCAGCAAATATCATGYAACATCTATAAAATACTTCTAAATCTTTTCCCCTGAAATATTCTGTTTTAAGAAYTTAAAAATCTTCACAGATTTTGAGTTGAGAAGATCCAGGATAGCCACATACAAACAAAAAAAGACCCTAAGTATATTAACCTGATGGTGATACACTACAAACRCATGTTGTGAAGTCCTCTGTCTGCTCACGTAAAACTTCTGAGAAACACACATAGAGAAAATGTATACTTGTTAAATAAATTGTCTTTTCTAATGATGGCTATAACAAAATCAGTGTTGGCAATTTTATTGTTTTCAAATGCATACATTTTAAAATGTTGTACAGAAAAATACATCATAAATGTATAAAACATCTTAATGTAACTTTTATGATTCTTCATTGACAAATATCAAGAAACCAATGGTGGCTTCCTCTCACTCATACCACTAGTGAAACAATTTCACTTTGTTTYATGATATGACCTCCTGTACAACTAATCCATTGATAATTTTGTTACATTATAGTGGGCTAGACATGTCAAAAACACCCTCGCTATTCCTGTAGTTCTCCTCTGAAGTTACAGGATATTCCTCTATAATAACAGATAAAGAAATCTGTGCCTGGAATCACAGCATTGCTTCAACAAAACATTACAGTAACATATGGTGCAAATCAATCTCTGTGTCTCAGCCCCCAAGAACATGCAGGGTTACAGAGTCAAACAAGCAGCACAGCAAATGCTGTGACTCACAGCAGCTTCCATATGAATTACTGTTTTGCAACAAACATTTTCAGCAAGTGTCCTGGTCATTATAACATCCCTTATAGCCTCCTGACACCCCCCACTGTGTGTAGAGGGGAAAAAAACAGGTCATCCTCAGTTTGTGTCAATAAGACTGTTCAAAGTAGTAGCCCGCAAGCAGAGCATGTGCTTCCGTGTAATTGCTGGTGCAGCACTGTGGCAGTCTCGTGTCTGCAACCTTCAATTCACATTTTTTAATTTGGCAAGGGGTGAGTTAAGGAAAACAGACAACGGAGTTCTGGTCTTACTGAGAAAGGCACAACAATAATTCAAAACAGCTACAGTTAAACAGCATCAGGAAAGATCTCCTAATCTTGAAAATCTTCTAAAACATGTTAGCCCTTCTCAGTATGAGTTTCTAGTACTTCAGCCCAGGCTCCTACTGGACTAAGTCTCTAAAACATGTATGTGATGATGAGATTGCATTCCTCCCCGAACAGCCATTTTGCAAGGAGATTCCCTTGGTGGAGGTTTAACTTTCACATTGCCAGAAACAGAATGTTCCGCATCAGATTACTCTGTCCTTCCTGTGACATTGGCTGAACTTGCAAAAAAAAAAAAAAAAAAAAAAAACCAAAAAAAACCCACCATCAAAAAAGCTAAACATGCCTACTTAAAAAATACCTCTCCCCCTCATTTCTTGTCTCAAATACTTGTGGTGGTGCATTCGCCTCCCCACACTCCTCCTTGGAACCACTCTGTGACCTCAGGAATTCCTACTGAGCCTTGGCTTTTGTGTGATGAGTTGGRTTGACAAGCTTCCCTTGACCATTTAGGAACTCTTGCATGATTAAGCTTCATCCCTGAGATGAAGGACAAGAGCACAGCCAGTCGCCCATTTAGAGCCTGGGACTTTCCCTACCTGAACCATAGCTCAAGGGGAATGATACCATTGTAGCTGGAGTTTTGCAAACAATTTGAAATTTTATTGGAAACTATTTCTAATTGTTTTGGAAACTCCAGTGATTACTGGTCTGAGGAGGGAAATTTTGCAGATTAAACCTTGCTACCCTGTAAATAGGGGTCCTGAGTGAGGCCCTTTGAGCGTCCCTAGAGTTCAGTGGGATGTGCTAGAATCTCCCTTTGAGCGGGATGGCTCTTGGAGCTTGCAAACTCTCATGTTTGTGGGAAAGCTGATGACAAGGCATAGGTTGATAACGTATCACTCCTTGAGCCGCAACCCTCACCCACTGAGAAAAGCCAAGGCACTCAACACAAGTATTTGACTGAAATCAAAGGAATTTTTTCACAGGTACCTTTTTACACAATTCTTTGTGTTCGTATGCGTGCATGTGGGTGGACTGATTTAAATATCCTGCAACAAGTACAGCATAAACACTGACATCTCAGAGCTATAATTAAGTAACTKCTGCAATCATAGTCAATTTTATTGAATCTCTATAAATGCTGAATTAGTCAATTGATTAAGTGCTACTTAAATCCTTTAAGTGTGAAACGTTGATCATGTGAGATTAAGTTTGGCAATGGGCTCCACTCTAAACCATGTGACTCTACGGGGAGTCACTTCCTCACCCTTTACATCTTTGTCACCCACATCCCTGGTCTCCATGCWAATCATTCTAAAGTGATTTTAAACCAATTTGCCCTTGTCTGCTTCATTTACATAGTAAATAATAGAGCAAACCCTGTCACTGAACTTTGCTGCACTTTCACAAATTTATGTTAAAACTTACTTTTGTCAATACCTTTGACWGTGATTCTTTAAGCTGCCTACACCACTCAATTGTGACAAATTGGCATAGTCAGCAGAATACTACATSAGGATTTACAACAGTCTTCCACACRAAAGCATGATCTTGAGAGGAAGAATGAATTCCAAGCAAGCTCAGGGCACTTAGACAAGACACATTCAGTAGATTGCATCCTGAATCTCTTGGGCAGGAATCCCTTGACAGCCGTCTTTCCAGTCCACTTAAGATACGTTGCCAAGGTTGGGAGGCATTGGCAGACCTGCACAGTGTGAGCAATTTGCAGCATGTTTATGTCTGGTAACTAAATGCATCACCAAGGAAGGTCACTGATCAATACCAATACATATTTTCAAAATAACAGAATGAATAYTAAAAAGGAGAGCAAAACAGGCTTTAGAAGTTGGCACTTTTTTAYCTAAATAAAAACATTCCAGTGTTTTGGTTGTGGATGTTTCTCCTTTAATACTGGTGAATTTCTTTCACGCTGGTAAGAAGAACCTATTTCACTGATACAAATTTCAAAACCTTTCAGGCTTTGCCCACCAGGAACTACAGAATTTAGATGAACTCTTGTTCCTGTTGCATTTATTTCAAGGCTTTTGAAGTGCCTATTTCCAATAGAAACTTAAGTCTGCTGAACTTAGTCCGCTAATTTGAGTTTAAATTTAGAGTCCCAAATACTATTGGCTGTTTGTTAAGGTATATT